GAGCTCCTGCATTGCCGCGCGCTTGGACGACGACAGCGGCTCTTGGAACGTCTCGTGAAACTGAGTGGCGATGGTCGCATTTGGCGTCACCGGCGCTGACCGTGTGGCGCTCGCCGATGGCTACCATTTGCCAAGCAAGACCTGCTTGGCCAGCTTCTCCGGGTTCGGGTCGTGGTAGGCGGACTTGGTAGCAAGTCTATCGCTGCGGCACGATGCCTCGATCCACACGCGCGAGACCCGAAGGCGCGGTGACGACTGGATCAACGGCTTCTCGAGCGGCAGCTTTAGACCGGTGATGAAGTCCTCGATAGACGTGGGTTGGACCGAAGGCGAGGCTGCAACAGGGGTGGGAGGGGGGGTCCGTCGATGGGCCGTCATCGATGGGCTGAGGGGGCTGCCCATCGTGAGCGTCGTTGGAGTCCCCGACGAAGAGCTGCTGATGCAGCGCTTGCTCGTCTGCCACCAGCCCCGATGCCTAGGACCCCTGCGGAGGGCAACTTTGCAGCCCCATGTCCAGCACCAAGACCGAAAGCAGGTGCTCGGAGGCCACGAACTTTGGCTGGGCGCGAACTATGGCATCCAAGTCAGAGTCACAAAGCATCGGATCCATCCATGGGAGCGGTGGTTGAGGCAGTGATAGAATTTGAATTTCAAATTCTTGGGAGGCCTCGGGCGACTTGTCGGGGGAAGACGACACCGGACGTGACGAGGGCCGGTGAAGTTGTGCCCCCTTCTGTAGTAGGCACTGCCTGCGTGGCCCAGATGACAAAGGACCGATACCCGGTTGGGCCGGGCAGAGAATCTGTCCGACAATGATAGGTGGCGCTTGCTGCAAAGTTGGGTTCCACCCAGGCTCAAGCTGCGGCTCCAGCGTGTCATCGGCGACTTGGCCGTTGTCGTCATCTTCGCCATGGCGACCAAGACGGAGTTGGCGCATGTGCGAACCGGCACGGCCATGCTTGCCTCCAGCAGCACAACACCGAAAACCGCACCTTGGTGGCTCCCACACCTAGTCCGAGGAAGGGCGCTGGGGCGGACGACCGTGCTTGCAGCTCCTCGCTCGATGCTCTGTGCTGAGGCAGAACAGGCAACAGGATGGGAAGGTGCACCGAAAGACGATGTGGTCCCCAGCCAGACAGTTGAAGCAGAGATCGACGAGCGATGGCGGCACTGGCCGTTGGCGATGAGGGTGAGGTGGGGCATGGCGGCGCCCGCGCCGACAGCTTTGGACAAGCGTGAAGCCATCGCCATCGACAGGCGCGGCCGTCAGGGGAACGTGGCGTCGAGGAAGAGAGCATGGCTCACGACAATGACGATGGCAACCTCCAGGCGCCAACGTCGTACGCCGTTGGCCGAGGCGCTGGTGCATGGGCACACGCACGACGGGCTGCAGGCCGAGCCGCTGGTGCGCGGGCACCCTAGTGGCCGGGTGTGGGGGTGCCCCTGGAGGACCGTCTGCGTCCCAGGTCCTGGCTCGGCCACGGCGGCGCCGCCTCTTCTTGGTGATGACGACCGTACGTGAGACGTAGCTCGCCCCCTTGCATGGCGCTGCAGGCATGGGCGAGGCCGTCACCTCGATGGCCCGATGAGCGACATCCAGGTACGGCGACTGGGTAGCAGAGGACGCCTAATTTATCTGCCACTTTCAGAATTCTATTGTTTAACACCTTTGTAAAAATCTTAAAGGACACATTTAAAAGACAAATTGACCTATATTGTTGTATTCGGATCACATCAAAACTTTGGGTAACAGTGTAATTACCCTAAAGTTTAAACTATGAATAAGCAGTCTCCCTACATGGACTTCACTAAAAAGGCTCATCAAATCCTGCTTGACAACATCCCAAAAGAATTGGTAAAATTATGCAGGAAAGCCGTCCGGGCCAGGTGCCTTATTATGTTCCATATCAAAGACTGCCGATCTAATCTCCTCCTCATTGAATGGAGCCACCAATACTTCATTCTCCTCCTCCGACACTTGAGGTATGTCATGCCTTAAAGTCTCGTCCATTAAGAAATAATTCTGTATATGAGGTCCAAACAGTCGTTTATAATAATCCGTTATATAATCTTTCAAGTTCGCATCTCCAACAATAATTCCTTCTTCTTGTTCTAGCTATATGATTTTTGTTTTTCTATGTCTCCCATTTGCCACCAAGTGGAAATACTTAGTATTATCATCCCCCCCTTGCAATAACTTTGTTGCTTTTGATCTTTGAAGCCAATAGATCTCTTCGTCTCTTAGCAACTTAGTTAATTGCCTTTTAAGATGATGTCTAAGTTCCACCTCCTGTGGTGACAACAAACTTGTTTCCGCCTTTCTATCAAAATTATCTATCTTAGCCAACAAATCTAATTTATGTTTCTTGTTTTGGGAAACTAAATTTCTAGCCCAACCTCTAAGGAATCGTCACAACCTTCTAATCTTATTTTGCCACCGGTCCATGGGTGATCTACCCCTATTCTCCGACTCCCAAATCTCTTTTACCAGATCAAAAAACGATCCCTTGTCAACTCTTTAACATGTTCAGGCATGCTCTACTGGTAAAGGACGTTTGAAGTTCTATCCAATGATCGGGTTATGCATTTCAATTTATCTTGGAATCGAACTCATAAAAGTATGGGAGAGAGAAAGTGATAACAAAAATACTATTATTTACTCAAAATATATCATGACGTCAATTTTCATACTATCCAAGTGTTGGTATAGTTAAATATCTAGTTTTGTGACTTACTATGAGGACCTATAAAAATCTGTACTTCATCTTATTAAGTCCAAAAATATTTACTTGTAAATATATCATAACCTTAATTTGCATACTATCCATGTGCTAGTATAGTTAAATACCGAGTTTTGTCACTTACTTTAAGGACCCATAAAAATTTATAATTCATCTTATATTAAAACTAATAAGAGTTTAGTTACTAACGTGTTAAAGGTACAGGTAGCCTCCAGGCGCGCTCCACCGCAGACATATCTCCACGATGCCACCACTGTTGTAAAGCATGTAACCCATGTGACGCTTTCTGCTAAGGCCTAGCCTCATGGCTCGCTGCAGGAGGCGCGGTGTGGTGGGTAGGCACCTCTCTCCTCATGGTCATGAGGTGGTGAGACGTGTTGATCTTGTCAATGTCGTCCACTCGCTGATTTTGATCTCTCTTCGTGGGGTGTTCCACCATGCCTGTGGCCGAGGTCGGTGGGGGAGGCATGTACGAACAACGCATATGACAAATCCATGGCTAAGACGTGTGAATCCATAGTCCACCACATCGATAGAAGCCAATGGCATGATCGTATGGTTTAGTTCATCTCCTTCGTCTAGAACTTGCCATTCTTCAATCTTATTTCTGTTTTTTGTTTTTGTTTTTGTTTTGAGACATCCATTGAGGTAGAGATTTATATAGCTGTCATGTGTTTTCTTTTATTTGACAGATTTCTTTCTTATGTTTTCTTTACTTCCCTCTTTTTTTGGGTTAGCTTTAATGAGCTGCAACTGGACTCCATATTGAACACACTTCGGACAAAAAAAAAAAAAAGAAAAAGGAAACTAAAAAACCAGATAAAACAAAGAAACTCCTCACCGTATATGTATTGAAATAGGATTAGAAAAAGACTTTAACTCAAGGCAATCGAAAACCTTGTGGGCCCATATATTTATGCATGTTGTGGACTTACGGCTCGTGAAAAAAAATAGTATGTGCAACAAGAAATTTGAAAAGGACACGGACGGAGGGATGGTGTGGTCGACCAAAACAGGAAAAAAGAGCGTAGCCGAGTTGGAGATTTCTATTCTTATATTCTTATATTTCTTTCCTACTATTAGGATTCCTATTCAGATTACTCGGGATCATAGAGATCTAATTGGATTATGATTTCTATCTATTCAGACTACCTTAAATAGTCCTGCACTGTTAACGGGTGTTCGGTGATGGTTTCTGCGGCTGATAATAAGCCGGCTGATGTTGTTTTGTTGTGAGAGAAAAACATTGTACCATGGCTGATAAAGTTGAGTTGATAAATTCAAGCGAACAGGGCGTGAGAAGCGGCTATATGCGGTTTCCATATTCATGAAATTAGTTAAGGAGGGCCCGACGAAAAAAATAGATGATGAGAACTTTTGTCCTGTTTAATATTATATAGATATAGATATAGATATAGATTGGATAATAATTTGGTTAGAATTTATAGTTTAATTAGTTGAACCATTGAATGATCTAGATCTAACAAGAACAATTATTTGTAATCTAGACTACAACAACTTAGTAATGAGAATAATTGTTTATTAGGGAATGACCAACAATTAAAGTACTCAAAATATTATATTTTGTGACTCTGGGTAAAAGATCATGGGAGGGTCATGAAGATATCAAGCAAAGCATGTTGGGATCTGGGGCAGATGGGCTGGAGTAGCAACATCTCTGAAACTATTATTATGTGCTCCCGTTTTTCGTTGTTTCTGGTTCAGTAGCTGAGGACGCTATTGGAAATGCTCCTTCTGCGATTTGGTGCAAACGGAAAGATTTGATGACTGGAGGTGTGGTTTTGTCATTGTACAGTGCATACAGCCATACAGGCAGTACGAATACGATCATCGGATCATGGGAGTTCTCAAAAGGAAGATACAGATAGGTTAAGGATAGCGAAGCATATTGGTGTGTGCATCTGATGGCAGCAAAGATCTCTCGAGTGCGCTGGATCTTTGCTTTTGAATCCTTTTCGCTGGGAGCATCCAACACTCAACTCTCTCTCTCTCTCTCTCTCTCTCTCTCTCTCTCTCTCTCACACACACACACACACACACACACAATCCCAACTTCCCAAGTGCTCTTGGAGCCGGGTGAGCCAAAAACTGCGTAAAGGTACGTCTTAATGTCTTATTGTTTCAATCGATCAGTAACATCAAAAGTTCACCCAATCACACAATATAGTGAAATGTGAAAACCATTTGAGCTCCCCCTAACGCTTGTTTGTTTCATACAGTACTAATGTGTGACTGTGCTCACTGCTCAGGGCCCAGCTGCGCGCGGCTAGGAGGAGCTACTATTCCATCATCCTCGCCTTTCTTCTTGCAACAAACGCATGTCCACAACTCGCAGTGTCCGTGATGGTAGCCCTTTCCATCGACGCCCTGGCACTTGTCGACGCATCGCTTGTTCTTCACGCAGTAGTTGTCCCACAGCCGGAAGCATGACCATTTCGACTTGCTGTCTCCGGGATCGTCGTCTCCCTCGAGCACTGGTGACAGTTCTCTTGCTGCTGCACCAGCAAAACGAATAATCGATCAAGCTCATAAAAGTCAATCAGTTCAACCATTTCACCGACCATTTATTTCATTGGTTATCAAAACATCGATGAGGTATCCAGGCATCAGAGTTTCGGAGAAAAGATATATATACCTGATGACAAGGCAATCAGCATCAAGAGGCAAAAGCACAGCAGGGCCTTGTTTGTTGTTCCTGCCATTGCTTTCTAGGACACTTGCTAGATCTGCAGTGTACTTAAGCTGCAGGTTGGGATGGGTATATATAGTCAAAAGGTTGAGGCTGTATAGATGGCAGTGCGCCCTGAAGATTAATGTTATCTAACAAGTGTTCATCCTGGTATGGTGCATGAAACCGCCCTTCATCAGTTAATAATGGACCAGCTTATTATTTCAGGGACATTCCTGTGGGCGGTACGAACGCTGATTTATTTGGAGGATTTTTTTTTATTGTGTATATAGCAGAATTACTGCCCTACGTGATCCTATTCGCTGCAAATCAAGATTGCATTGGCTGCAGTCCTGTAGATGTCTTCAGATGCCAGACCTTACCATTCAGACATTAGTAGCAAACAATTCACAACCTCAGCCTTAGATATATTATTACACCATCCATTCTAAATTATTGGTCACTTCAGCTTTATCCTAATTACACTTTTCTATTTTTAACCAAATTTCTTTAGAAATGTACTAACATCTACTGTTCCAAATAAATGCATTATCAAGACATATTTTATGGAGAATTTAATGAAACTAATTGATGTTGTAGATGTTGCTACAATTCTCTATAAACTTAGCTAAAGTTAGATAAGTTTAACTTAAAACAAAACTAAAGTGAACTATATATGGAACAAATTGAGTATTAGCAAAGAATTCTTAAGTTAAGCATTTAAAAAAAACCGAATCAAATAGAAGAGCAGCCGATTATATTTTAAAAAAAATCCTAGATTAGGAAATACACCAAAACAGTCACCCAAAGGGTAAACTCAACAACATCATCAACAACAACAACAAAAGAGACCAAGCAACAACTAAAACTTTTGGCCGAGTTAGAATGGGACCTCAACACGCGGTCAAACAACAACATTGTGGTCTCGCAAATTGTATGCCACTAATCTAGCACTCCACAAGCTCCACACGGCTGCTTACCAATCACCACACTGCGCGCCCAGCACTAGGCGACAACACCGTCAAGTCGAAACACCGTCATCACCACTTGCGTCGTTGCTATTCATCGTGATCTGTTGCAAGCCATGTAATTACCAAGCTTGGTGTATCTGCTCATATGAAACACTTCTAACCGAATTATCTGAATAAATTCAGCAATGCAACATGCATTAGTTTCATCGTCTGAACTATCTGAATGATATTCAATAGCATGCATATTTGGACGACGTGATCTATGAATGTCACAAGAATCCTTCAAACAAGTTTCAATAGCAATGACCTTTTGCAGCAACTGATTAACGGTAATAAACTTATAATGTTCAAGTTTTTCTTTAATATTGGAGTGCAGACAGTGAAGAGCTAAATAAGTCAAATCTCTTTCCGAAATTGCTAAATGAAAGCATTGGTTCTTAATGTCTTTAAAGCGTTTCACAAAGTCAAGGATGGATTCATCAGGCCCTTGTCGAACCGATGTTAGATGTGAAATTTTAGTTTCAGTAACTCTATTATAAAAATGCTCATGAAATCTTTATCCGAAGTGAGCCTAGGAACTAACATAAACCAAGAGAAAGTTTTACTAGTAAGAGACAAAGAAAAATGTCGAACATTCATAAAATCCAAGGTACTAGTTTCAACCAATTGAGCAAGAAACAAGCTACTGTGCTCCATAGTAGATTTATTATCTTCGCCACTAAATTTATAAAAATATGGTACCCTCCAATCATCAGGAGATTTTAAGAAATCAAAATGCGAAGGGTACGACTTATGATATGTAGTCCTACTTGGCTTAATTTGCACACCCAAGCTACTTGCGATAGATTTGGATAATTCATCCCTAAACTGATTCAAATACTCATTAAAATCGGTAGAAGGAGCCACAGGTGCACTATTAAGCATAGGAATCATACTCATTACTATGGTTATTTGTGGCCCTAAACCCTAACAAGCCGGTCAGACCGATTCGACGCTCGTTCTTCGCTTAGTAGACTCCTGAACACCTCCCTAGAAGACCCGTCAGGGAGGGGCACAACGAAGTTGCGCTAGGATCGGCAAGTCCATATAGAACACCACCAAATCGACCGCGTCAAGAGACATGACGAACAAAAAGGATAGAGAGAGTTAGGGCAAAAGGGCTAGTAGATGTGTTTTTTAACGATGAAAGTTTCGACCATGATCCTCTCGTTTATATAGAAAGGTGATCTTATCATAGTAGGAAACATCTTCGAGACGCAATCTTCAAGTTTTCCACGGCAAAAATAGATCAAAACCGAGTTGAAAACAAACCGGACTCGGAACAAGGAAACCGGCCTGGACGTTTTCCGACCTGGTGGTTTAGCGAACCAGCTAGGCCGGTCTTGGCAGAATTGGCCCAAAACCATATTTTCTTTATCTGGACTTCAAATTTGTTGTTCCAAATATATTTTTTTTCGATGTATTGATGCCAGGAACTTGATTAAGTCCAATACTCTTGTTGGCACATTTTTTTCTGTCAAAAAATAGTTCATTCAATATCTGGGGTGATAACACATATACTATAGCTTATTATTTCTCAATCGATGATACCAAGATAGCTATCTCCTAGCTACCAGTTTTATTGCCACGCACGCTTTGTTTTTGTTCATATGCATGCATCGGACCTCCTCTCCCATAGCCCTTACGGCCTACAGCAGAGGCAGAATATGTGTAAACATCTCCAACTGTTGTTGTCAGGATCATCATTTAAGCATGGCTTCCTGCAGTTGTCGCTCTTCAAGCAGCCAAGGCCAACCGCCGGCATGCAGGTCCTCGCGTCCGACATAGCGATCTCTTCTGCGCCAGTGAAAATGAATCGAACTGTAAGTTATTTGGTTCTTCATTACCAAAAGATCTGTGACAATTTATACCTGATGACAACGCAATCAGCATCAAGAGCCAAAAGCACACAAAGGCCTGGCTTGTTCCCGCCATTCTTTTCTACTTTGACTGGAATGTATTTTTTTTCAGTCTTATTTTGGGCTGCAGGTTACGGTGGGTCTATATATATAGTCAAGACGGGGGATAAATTGGCGATGTAATGAAATTGGAGGATTTCTGTAGAAAAAAATCAATACATGCGCTCCGTGATCGTACACTTTGTAGTACTAATTAATGTTTACCTTGGCATGAGATGTCTTCTAATGCATACCACAAATTTTCACTAAATCAGCTATTGGTAGCAAATACTCTCTCCGTTCTAAATGGTAAGACGTTTAGATTTTCTAAATACATTAATTTTACTATGTATCTAGACATAATGTATATCTAAGTACATAACAAAAATTACGTATCTAGAAAAGTCAAAATATCTTATGATTTAGAACGAAGCGAGTACTAATTCATAAGTTTTACCATGGGAGTGTTGGCCCTTGGATCCTCGGAACGGGTGAGCCGACCACTTACCTGCTTTGCCGACCACAGACTATTGTTGGCGACCACACACTATGGCTAGAGATAGAAGAAGGGAGGGAGAACAGAGCACACATACAGCACAAGCATCAGCGTTTGGCCGGAGCTCTACAGAGGAGATGGCAAAACTGAACTCGTTCTCTTTACTGAGTTGCAGTGAAAAGCTATATATACAATTCTACCCATCTAATCCTAGTACACAGACATGTCAGGCTGTCATGCTGCTACAATTACTAGATGTGACAGCAGGGCTGACTTTGGCGCCTACCCCTACTGTGGCTACAGTGCCGCAGGGGAGCCTTTCGGCGTATGCCCCTGCAGCAGCTACAGTGCGACAGCAGGGAGCCCTTTTTGGCGCCGTCCCCGTACCGTGCTTTCATACAGAGGAGCAGCAGATTATTGAACAATTCTTTCCCTAATCCTGCTGCTAACCCTAGAACCTTCACCATACCGATCATCTTCTTCAACTCCGTGAACCAAAGATGGCCGAGCGGCTTGGTGAGGACGTCCATGAGTTGCCGCCCAGTTTCGACGAACTTGATGACGATTTGCCTCCCATCGACACAGTCCCTAAGGAAGTGAAACTTGACGTCGATGTGCTTGCTCCGGTCGTGGAGAACCGGATTCTTCATGAGGACGATGGCGGGCTGGTTGTCCACCATCAGTGCTGGTGGGTGAGCTTCCACACCGGTCAGCTCGCCTACTAGTCGGCGTAGCCATACAGCTTCGCCGCTGTGGCCGCCGCCACGTATTCTGCCTCGCACGTGGACAGAGCCACCACCTTCTATTTCAGCGACAGCCATGAGATTGGAGCCGACCCAAGGAAGACGAGCACGCCAGAGGTGCTCCACCGTCCATCGATGTCCCCCGCCATGTCTGCATCACTGAACACAGTGAGCTACAACCCACTTCCGCCGGTCTTGGGGAAGACGATCCCATGATCTACCGTCCCCTTGACGTAGCGCAGCAGCCGCTTCACTGTAGCCCAGTGATCCTCTCGGGGATCTTCCATGAAGCGGCTGACGTAGCCCACGGCGAACACAATGTCCGGCCTCGTGTGGACTAGGTAGCGCAGACTACCGACAATGCTCCAATAGAGTGTTGCATCTACCTTCGCCGCGGTACTGGCCTTCGTCAGCTTCAGCCGCTTCTTCATCGGAGTCACGCACGGCTTGCACTCAGCCATGCCGCTCCACTCCAACAGCTTCGAGGCGTACGCCCTCTGATCAAGCATGAGCGCATCCTTCCCCTATTTCACCTCGATGACGAGGTAGTAGGAGAGCGCATCGAGATCGCTCATTCGAAAATGAGCCACCATCTCGCGCTTGAAGCTGTCGATGTCCTCTGCACGCGCGTCGGTGACGATCAAGTCATCCACATACACGCCGACGACGAGCTCCTCCTTCCCCCATCGTTGCGTGTAGAGCGCGTGCTCGGTTGCGCATCGCGTGAACCTAAGCTCGTCCAGCGTGGCGTCAAGCTTGGTGTTCCACGCTCATGAGGCCTGCCATAGGCCGTAGAGCGCCTTGCACAGTCGGAGCACCCTGTGCTCTGCTCCCTTGATGGTGAAACCCGGAGGTTGCCTAACGAAGACCGTCTCCGCCAGCTCATT